TATTAAATCTGACGTCAGTTTTTTTGTGGGATTAATTAAATTTAATTAATGAAATAATTAAATTTAATTATTGAATTAATAAAAATTTAATTATTGAATTAATAAAAATTTAATTATTGAATTAATTAGTATAGTAATGTGACTGATTTTCCAACAGCAGCAGCAGCAGCAGCTACGACGAGCAGCACAAGCAGCTAGCAGTAGAATAACACCAACAACAACACAAACAGGAGCACCATGATAGATCCAGACACGATCGAAGCTATTATACGAGATATTGTTCGATGGCCAGATGATAGGGAATGGAATAATAAGAATAAAGAAAGTCGGATAGCAGGCCTGTTTGGTGCACCAAGTACAGTTATTGCTGATTTATGGAACCGGATTGAGCCGTCTCTGCTTGGAGACCAATCTTCCGGAGGTGCTGAACCGAAACACCTCCTTTGGGCACTGCTATTCCTTAAAGTGTACGCCACATCCGAAGAGGTCCACTGTTCGATAGTAGGATGGCCCCACAAAGATACCTTTCGAAAGTGGTCCTGGTACTTCCTGAGGAAGATCTTCGATCTTCAGACGGAGGTGATTGTATGGGGGAATAGATTCGTTGGTCAGCCTCAATTACCAACCGGGGAGTACTTGCCACAGGCAGATTGCATGATATCTGTCAACTGGACTGATTGTCCATGCTACGAGCCTTATCCATTTAGCATTGACATGTATTCAGAGAAGTTTAATGGCCCAGCTATTAGATATGAAGTTGGAATTTGTATTGAAACGAGTTACATCGTATGGATTAACGGCCCCTTTCCTGCAGGCACTTCAGAGAAGAGAATCTTTGACAGTGAGCTTGCCACAAGGCTTGAGGAATGGGAATTGGTTGAAGCGGATAGCGGACTGAGGGGAACACATAAAGCAAAGACACCAAATCAGGGGATTGATAAAAAGCAAAGAAAAGAAAAGTCGATCATCCGGGGACGCCATGAAAATATTAATGGGAGACTGAAGATATTCAATGTACAGAATGCTTCTTTCCATCACACTGAAGGCAGGGACAGGGACACGATGATAGGAAAACACGGCATGTGCTTTGCAGCTGTTGCTGTGATCACACAATTGAAGCTTGAGCATGAAGGGGGTCTTTATAGTGTCGACTACGATGTTCGATACACATAGGAAGGAGCCTAAACAAAATATAACGCTTCTTCTCTAGCAATAAATTGTGCCGCGCCCCCTCTTTGCTAACCACCATTGCAATAGCTCAATTCTTACTAATCGTACAACTGTTGCTGTTCTGGAGGTCTCAGTTCATCCTGTTGCTCATGGTGTTCGTTTCCAAGCTGCGGAGGAACCGGTTTCTATTTTCACGTGCAAACGCCATGTTAGAATTAGATTTTGGCCTAAAATATTTCGACTGATACTGGTGGAAGCAAACTGGAGACCAAAATACTGATTTTTGGAGCTTCCTGGTACAAAACCCTTGTAGAAATCCCGTAGAAAAGACAAAGTCAAGGGGGACTGTCCAGTTTGGGCAAAATTAGTTGGTTTTTATCTTCACGTACAAAATCAGCTTTTGGCCTAATTGCTGCTGGAAGCGCAATATAGTATAGTACAGAAACTTCCTTTGGTCCTCGCAATCCTTACATTCATGGATGGATATATTTTTATATTATACGTCAGCATTGCTAGGACAGCACGATTGAAATGTTATATATAACACGCGCTGGACAGGTGGGATTCCCACTTCAACACGGTCTAACACGTAAAAACAGAGTGAGCACACGGTTCATCGTGTAATAAGAACTGAAACTATCTAGCACAGAAGTACTCCGTGTAATACCACTAAACAACCATTAAGAACAGCAACAGCAGCCGCATCCTCAATGGCAAGGACGCTTGGATCAAAGAATAAGATAAGGAAAGGACAACCACCAGAGACTTCATATAGCAACCTCTGTACGGTCGAGCAGCTTGTGGTGTACTTCTATTGGATCTACATCAAAACCGAAGGAACTGAGGGTTGGGACAATAAGAAATCTGGTTCCACTGAGCACTGGAGGCACTACAAAGTGATCCACGAGCACTGGAAAACAGCTTCTTCTTTCTATAACAGAGCAAAAGTAAGTATCGTCGAAAGTTAGTCGTTTATGTACTACTAATAGCTTACTCACAACAGCATCGCCGCTACCAGAAATTGAATCTTCTTGCTGAAGCTTTGAGCGAAACTGACATCCACATCGAAGAGCCTGCCATAGAAGGCATTCCCAAGACCCCATCTTCTGTCCTTGCTGCTAGTAGTAGTGATCAGCAGCTTCCACCACGTCGTCCGACACCAAGCTCTGTGTTACCAAAAACACCTCCTCCAGTCTTCTCGCCTCAGGCCCATCCTTGGAAAGCAACAATGCCAGTGGGCGGCCCCCCCTCGTCCTCAAAGAAGCAGCGTCCTGCAGTTCCTCAATCACTACAGGCTACTTCAGTTGACGATCTAGTCAATGCTGCAAACAACATGTCTCTTGAAGATGGCAGTCATGTGCGTGTCTTGGGAAGTACCTATCCTACTATCGTAGGAACTTGGGACTCACAGGACACCAATGATGATGATTCCTCTGATGAAGACTATGAAGACCAGGTCTTTACCATGATCAGAATGATCATGCACAATGCTATTCATTCGCAACTTATCTACCCTGAGTGGCTTGATCCCTTCAATCTTCAGCTCACCATTCGCTGGCCCAAGTGGTTCAAGAAAGTCAGTCGACACATTGCAATTCAAGATGGACAGAAGCATCAGTTTGATAAGCGTCATGCTGTTATCCGGACAATGAGAAGATACCTCAAGAAACTATACAAGAAGGACGCGTTTGGTCAACCATTGGAGGAGAAGATCATTGAAGACAGTATTACCATCCAGTTTGCAACCCCTATGTGTATGGACAGGGAAGCTGTCCACATCGATGTCGTGGATATCAGCGTGACAGAGGACGACCTTGATCAAAGAATCAAGGAGGAGCTTCCTCCTGGAGGAATTATCAAAGTACTTCAGATAATTGCTGAAGCAGATATTGGGTCCCCCAAGATGAAACAACGCATCCACGTAGGCGGGAGGACTGCTACTCTAGGTAAGGAGCCAAGTGGTAAACGGATTGAAGATGATCAACAAGCAGACGTGAGAAAGCAGGCAGACCACCACCAGCCGCAGGAGGCAGGAGCACACCAGCTCAACAAAATTGCTGCTCATCAGTCTCGTCCATTGCCATCAGCAACACATCTTGTTCCTGCTACTCTCACCGACAGTATGGATGAGAGCGAAACGCCTCGTAAAAGAACCAGAACTCACCTCACCACTCCGTCCTCGTCATTATACTAACTTCTTGTTAATAGGCAAAAAACTTGGTGAACCAGCTGGCCGTGGTCAAATGGAGGATGACGAGGACGACCTTTGACAGCAAGCTGAACAAGAAGCAGCAGCAACATGCAGCACTGTTTCGGTGGCAACATGCGACTCCATGACCAACAATTCAATTGAATCGAATAAAGATCTCGATCCAGTAGCGACCATGACAAGAGATATCATGGAACTCAAGTCGGAGCTAAAGAAGTTTAGCAGCAGGAGCAACACCAAGAAGAATCAATAAATGAAGACTTGTTTGATCGGTGCAAGAACAGTAGGACTCAACCACAAGAATTGAATGCGAGTATGACTTGCCCACGGCATACGAGACACAGTATCATAGTAGTAGTAGTAGTTTACAGCATGCTGACAGCAGAAACGGGCCTGTGTTTCGTAGGAGATTTTCAATAACCCCAGAGCAGCACAAGCTCTCTATGTGGTGGGCATAGTGTAGTTGCTCGGAATGATAATGGGATGAATACAGTACGAAAGTACGACTTTTCTTTGCCAGGAGCAAAGTATGCTCCCTTGTTGCTTGAGGTGTTCTTTGTTTTTGTCCTACCGGTGTACTAGTAGTATCTGCCACAGTAGCACGCTAGCAGTGCTCTTTAATAGCATTCTACGGGATTCAGTTACTAAATAAGGAGCAGCAATGCTGTGTGGTTGGATGCCGGCGTGCCCTGCTGGCGCTAAAAAAGTGAATTTAATTAAGTAATTAATTAAAATTTTATTAAGTAATTAATTAAAATTTTATTAAGTAATTAATTAAAATTTTATTAAGTTTTAATTAATTGAATAATTAAATTTAATAACCCGATAATTAAATTTAATTGTTGGTCATATTGCATTAATAAATTTGTGGTCGCGGTTCCCCAAAAACAGTAATTTGAATAACCCCCAAATTGAAGAACACTAGAACTTAAGAAAGACCGTTATTTTGTATAAGACTACGGTTAAATATGCGCGGAACGCGCGGAAATATTAAACAAATGGTCCCTTCGGTCCCTCTCCAGCTGGACCCTGCACCTTTATCTCTGCGTAGTCAATTTATCAATTTACGGTGGGAAAATTCAAAATTAGGTAGCGCATTTAATTTCAGGCTGGCTCTCCCGAAAGGGTCATTTTTTGCTTCTCGACAATTTCAAATTTCCTCTGTGCCTATCGKTCGGCATGACGTATAATGGGCAGACCGTGAGATTTTCCATGCTGACTGAGATTCTTCTCGCTTCCGCGACAATGGAAACATCATCCATCATCCAAAGTGAACAAACGAAATCTGAAATCTCGAGAAACACTGAAASGAAAAACTCTTAAATGGAAGTAAAAAGTAAAAGACTAAAGTACCAAACTTCTAATACTGTTTTACGATACACGTACACTAAATCGCAGTCTGWCCAGCAGTACCAGTGGTTTCTGCTTTGAGCAAAGAATGTTGATGACCATGGCATCGTGTGCATCATTATTGTGGAGGMATCAGGGATCAGCTCATTTTCGGTTAGAGGTGCAACCAGTCCTCCGAGTCACGAAGACGATGTCMTAGTAACAGGAGCAGTAGTAGTCCTCGTCATCGTACGGTACCCGCATGTGATCTCCAGGTCAAAACCCAAAAGTATTCACGGCTCTGCTTTTATCGTCTCCATTGATCGCTGGCAGTCGCTTTATTCCTCGAGAGATGGTCTCGCGGCGAGATACAGGCAGGGGGTGATCACGGGTAGAAGGATCGATGCTGCAAGCAACGGAACGGATCTGTCTTCCCATCCTCTTCGCTTTGCGTCTTCGGACACCAACACCGCGGCCAAAAGAGACATGATGACGATGTCTGCAGAGGCAACCGATACAAACCTAGAGGTAGATGCGAGCTCGATGAATCCACCAATGGTAGCGGAAACGTCGCACCCCAGCAGGTCGGAGCTGAACGGAATCGACAGGGCGAGTGCGGAAAGCGCCACGCCGAACAGCCGGTTCTCGAAAATGTTCCGGGAGGCCCAGCCGAGGTCTTCGGTGTCGGCGGGCTCCGTTCGCATGGTTCTCGTCGCAAAGTACGGACCRAGCGAAAAGTAGCCAAAGGCCGCGGATCCCCACAGGAAGGGAGCCGCGGGGAGGCGCTGGCCGCGTCCGACGGGGGCTTCGAGCGCCGCGAGGAGCGCCGGGACCACGGCGAAGCAGTTCCAGATGGCAAACCACAATTCGTTGATCTGCTCCGGCCGGGGGCTGGGCTGCGTTACGAGGGTGGTGACCATTTCCTGGTCGGCGGCCGAATTAAGTTCYCCGGGCGCGGCTCCGAACGCAAAGGCAATGAGCGTGATCCAGACGGCTCCGGCAACATAGTTTTGGGTTTCCAGCGGTCCGGGAACGGGCTCTTCCCTCACCACTTCCACGACGGCAGGGGCTGCTTCTTTCTTGGCAAACGGGTTGAACACGTTCAGCGACGACGACGACGACGACGACGACGAGGCGGTGGTGGGAGCGCTCGAGAGGGTCTTCGATGCCGTCGAGTAGGATTGTGGAGCGAAGGCATTTGCGGCGCCAGATGCGGCAGCAAGAACTAAGAGCCTGGTGAAAATTCCTGATTGCTTCATGTTCTTGATTCTGGATTCTGTTTCCGAATGCTTTTATGGAATTGTTGGCAATGCAATGATTAAATGTCGCTCCCAACAGCGATTTTCACGAGTAGGAGCTCGAGAGTAGAGAGTGGTAGTACCTACCAACGTACGTGCTCGTCAAAATCACTGACTCATATCTAAGTACAGTACTACACGAACCGAACCTCACAACCTCTTCGTTGGGGAGCTATTGTTTAGAACTATTTCAGTCCTAGAATTTTATGGTACTGTATTGCTTAGTAGAAGTACGAAGTACAGTAAGTATCATCTTCTAATGCGCCTCGTACTATGTYATCGTACGTACGGTATGGTAGACGAGAATCAAGGATTGAGTGAGAGGTGAGAGCCATCTGGCGGTCTTTCTATTTGTCYAGTCGGTTTAGATCGTTCAAATCTACTGCAGATAGACGGGAATGACCCACTGGCTTGGCGCGAAATCGTTCATCGTACGTTGGGGGGTGCAACAACTCAGGATACACATGTATCATTATTTTAAAGAGAGGCCGAGTATCGGATACATAGCAGTTAAAAATTGTTTGAGAAATTCTTCTTCGCGCTCCAGCTTTTTCGCCGAAAAAAGGGAAGTTAAATTTCCGTTTCAACCGAATGTCAAAAATTCATGCTGTCTTCCGGGAGGATGGCCGGCTAAGATTTCATAGAACAGATGGGTCATTCAACGTCCAATAGTAACGAGGAGCACGAACTGAAATAGATAGGAAGCGTGCATTTGGCACGAATGGTGTGTGTCGTTTCACATTGGATCACAAAAATTTCGATAATTCCGAGAGAAGCACCGGTGAACCCGGGAATAACGAAAAATCGCACCTGGCTTCGTGAGTATCGAGTAATGCCATCGCAGTAGGACATCACTCACTACGAGTGACGAACCATTAGTAACGACGTGTTCAGTTCTGGATACAAGAGAGTCTACACCACACCCAGATWGYGCTKGAAGACGAGAGACRCCCTAGTCGTTCATAGTATTGTTTTGAGAGGAAGTGGAGTCGAACAGAGTCAAAGTCTTCTTTCGTACGGTAGACGAAGAGCCAGAGCCAAACAGTGGCAGTGGCAGTTGCAGTTGCAGTTGCAGTTGTAAAAGAATCTGCACTGCACGAAGAGAAAGAGTGCGTGCGTGTGTCACTAAGTCGTCATGGCGGGTCCTATCCAAGCAACCCAATCCCTCGGTGCACAAACGTCGATTGGATCGAATCTAGACTTGCAGATCATCGATGAAACGTACGGAAAGAACGCCGATCTCTACCAAGACGTCCTCGGGGTGCCCACCACGGCAACCCAGGACGAAATCCAGGTGGCCTACTTTGACCGGCGGAGCGAGCTGTTTACGATGCTGGCAAAGATCGACGCCGCGGCCAGGGGACCAAAATCGGGSACCACTGCATCCCTGGCCACCATCGACAAGCGTCGGTACAAGGCCGARCGAAAGATGGAGTCCGTCGTCTTTGTGGTGCGGATCCTTACGGACCCGGCGCTGCGGATAGCCTACGACAAGATCCGTGGAGAGCGCCTGGGCCTGTCCGCCAGCGGCGGAAGCGCGCCGGTGACCCGGTACAGCGGCTCCAGGTCCGGATCTTCCACCCGAAGTAGCAACCACSGAAGCAAGAAGAACCAATACAGTCCCGAAGTCAATGACTTTCGCGCTTCGAACCCGAGGGTGGTGACGCCATCGATGACGGACGCGTCGTCCGGGTCAGAATCCAAGAACTGGATGCAATCTACRTTTTCGTCTCAGCTCTTCTCCAACATCGGTGGAGGCAAGGGAGGAGACGAAGATGTGCGCGGGGACGAACAACGAAACCCGCGGAAATCAAAGCGCCGGCAAAAGCAGCAGCAGCCACCCTCGTCTCCCGTCCAGGAGCGTGACTCGGAGCCCGTTCGAGAGACACGGGTAGAACGAGCCGCGGAGTCAGAAAAGAAGTCCATCTGGGGGCGGAAAAAGAAGAAGAAGAAGGTCCTTCGCAAGGATTCCAAMGAAATCCCTCCGGTGGAGATCACCGACTCGAGCGCGACCGAAGAAAGCAAAGCCGAGAACGAGGAGATTGTCACGCGAAAGGCGAGCAGGAGCACGAGAAAGATTGTGGAAACGAACAATGCAAGACCCACCCAGATCACGAAGACTCCCAGCCCCCAAAACAACACCGGCAGCGAAGGTGCAACACCCCGGGAGGGYCTGAAGGGAGGGGCGGAACGAAACCGCAGCAACCGCCGGGGAGAYTTTGCCGAAGACGAGACCGTCACCGTCTACGACGACGATACTACCCGGCGGGACGACGACACCCGGACCTATCTCGGAGACGACGGGGAGACCTTTGCCACCGGCAGCGTCTTTTCGAGCGACACCGTTCAGGACAAGGCCACGTGTTCGATCTCGAAAACCATTCGAAACATTACGGACGAGCTTTCGGGTGCCTGCGAAGACACCCTCGTGAGCGTGGACCAGGTCTTTCACGCCTTTACCCTGACCGAAAAGGACATCAAGGCCGTGACGAAAAAGATCACCAAGGCAAAGCGACAACTGGAGAGCTAAASCGAAAACCCGGTGCGGATCGAAAGCAGGTCGAGAAAAGGAAATTGATGCCTTTGATGCTGTCCGCGCGGCTTTTGAAACAATCATATATTACCATCAGTCTCACTACTACATGATTAATAGTGTTCTGTTTCGCAACAGGGTGCCCCTGTCCTTTTTGTGTACACGACGGCACGGCACCGAAAAAGTAAAGTAAACAGATCTTTTACGTTTCAATAGCATATGGCAGCTAGTACGGCACGGCGACGGAGGCTGTGTGTATGCCCAACAAGGCTTCGAGACAGAAGAAGCCATACCAATCTTGGTGTTGATGGCATTCCGTGCGTTCCGGTGGAACGAATCACGGATCGCGTCTCTCTGTTGCGGAACACCCGCCTCCGAAATTGTGGGGACGGACCCAGCTCGCGCAGGAAACAAAAAACAGATGCGATGCGCACGGTCCCCCACAGGGGTGTCCGTTGGGCGTCCAACGAGGGACGGAATCCGCCGCGCGGCAGCGGCGTTGACAAACCCCTTCGACAAAAATAAATCTGCGTTCTGGATCGACACAACCAAGATCGCTTCGTTCGTTCAGTCCCACACTGCGGCATACCGGTATTAATGTCTSACACGATTCGCATCAATCAAAATTGCCTCTTGTCCGCGCGCATATCCGACACRAGGGATGACGGGCCCCGTGACAGGGTTCGTACTGGCACTCGTACTAATACTAATAGCCACCTTACGGTTCGTACTGCACTGTTTGGGTTGTGCTTCTACTATTAGTAGTACTGAACAGTCTTCTGTGGGCTTTCTCTGCTACGGGCCGTACGAGTACCCGTACCGTACTCTCGTGGTTTTCTACCGCGATATTCGAACCTCTCCGGCCGACAGACGGAAAACCTTGCGGAAATTTTTCAAGTGCTCGTACCGGTACTATGGCAGCAAGGACCCTTCCACAAGGTTCTTGGTCGTAGTACCGTTCCGATCTCTGTCACTAGGCRAAGGCAACACCGCTTGTCCGGCATACAACGGCTTAAGCGTACGAACAACACCACATAAGAAAAGCAAACCCAAACAAACCAGGGAATCCGGAGCGTTTCAGCAACGCAGGGCAATCATCGTGGCGATTCGAGGCGACACGAAGAAGCAAGGGCCCGTTGCGGTTTCTTCGGCTATACGGTGTCACCGAAGCTCGRGAGCGAACGAAGCGAACCGCGATTGATTCTGGCCGTCCCCGAGCGGTGCGTGCAGAAACGAAGCGAAACGAAAACCAACTGCGGGGGGGTCCGGCGGATGCATCGCCGGGGTCCCGGACTGCTTCCAACGCAACTCAGCGCAACACCTAGGCACTTCCCAATACAGGACTGCGGCTCGTCGCGTTCGGAATCGCGGCAGAGCACCAAAAGCACACTTACGGGATGGGTTGCTCCGCGTCCAGGGACCTGGACGCCCAGATGAAGGAGGATTTCTTCGGCATCACCAGCGGGGGGGTCGAGGCCGCGGCTTCCGGAAGCAGCAACWACAGCCCGGGCAACAGCAGCAAGCACGCGCCGAACCTCGACACCCAGCCGACCGCGAGCCCTTCGMCGAGCGATCACTTCGAGAAACAAGCGACGTCATCGGCRACCGCACCTGCAACCGCACCGGCATCGCTGCCAACGTCATCGGAATCCTCCGGAACGAAACCAAAGCCCAAAGGCAAACCGAAGGCCGTCAACAACGTCTACGTCAACAAGCCCAAGAAAGAAAGGACGTCTTCGTCGAGCAGCAGTGGCAACAAAATATTCCAAACCCTTGTCACCTCGGACTCCTTCGTTCCGAACTTTTTGGACGAGGCYGTTCAGAAGGAGGGAACGAAGACCACCACCCCACCAGCACCAACACCCAAGCAAGCGGAAGCGCCKTCCTCCGCCACGGAGAAGGACACTCCCGCCGCCCCCACTTCCAGCGAAGACATAGTGGGACCCCTGCCGTCGCAAGCAATAATGGCGGTTGCGATTCCAAAGAAGACAAAGGAAAGCACCAAGAAGAGCAACGGCGCTAAGAACGATGGGACTGCCGCCGAATCCGAATCCGCCTCCGAAGAAGCGATTCCCATTCCGCCTCCCCCACCGTWTGTGTCACTGGTAAACGACAGCAATAYCCGGCAGAAYTCTGTRGACGTCGTCTCTCCCATCACGGCGCTGGACGACGACGACTTTTCCGTGGCACCGAGCCTGGACCTGGAAAAGCGRTCCATCGTGACCGTGTCGAACAAGAGGACCAACAGCCAGTATTCGTCGTACTCCGACGAGAAAACGGTCATTACCAGCATGGCGTTCGACGACATCTACTCGAGGGGGAAAGAACTCGGGTTTGGTGCCTTTGCCAACGTATTTGTGGCAACGCACAAGCCCACCGGCGCCACATACGCGGTAAAAGAAGTCGATCGCTCCAGCATGATCTGGAACGAGAAGGATCACCTGAAACACGAAATCGAGAACATGTTCAAGGTTCGGGAGGGTCCAAACATTGTTCAGCTCTACGAAGTATATTCCACCCACGATCCCGACGAAGAGGAGGAGGAGGAGAGCAAGAATCGARCCGCGGCCGAATCCAAGAAGAAAAAAGGCCAGCGGARGAGGAGGAAACCAAACATTTGCCACCTGGTCATCGAACTCATGGAGGGCGGAGAACTTTTCGACCGGATCATCGAAAAGCGCAACTTCTCGGAGCGAGAAGCCCGAGACTCGATACGGTGTGTTCTGGAAGCCCTGAAATACATGCACGAAAGAAGGGTCGTCCACAGAGACCTCAAGCCGGAAAACCTTTTGCTGAAATCGAGGGACAAGTCCAAGCTGACACCGGTMAAGCTGGCGGATTTCGGGTTCGCAAAATCCATCGAATCCAAGAACGGTTGCCGGTCTTTGTGCGGGACACCGGGCTACCTRGCACCGGAGATACTGGAACGCTTCCCTTCCTACGACGTCCAGTGCGACATCTGGAGCGTCGGGGCCATCTTGTTCCTCCTGCTGGGCGGTTACCTGCCCTTCGACGACGACAACGAGGAGCGCGTCTTTGACCGCACCCGGAACGCCGCCTACGACTTCCACCCCCGCTGCTGGGGCAGGGTTTCCTTCGGGGCCAAGGACCTCGTCTCGCGGTGCCTGACCATCGATCCGAGGAAACGGTTCACGGCCGATGAATGCCTGGCCCACAGCTGGATGGTGGAGAGCGAGGACGCCATGGATGCACAGCTCGACGGGGTCGTCGACAAGCTCCAGGCGAAGCGAAAAATGAGGGCGGCCGTGCAGACCGTAAGTGAAATGCGTGCGTGTCTTCTTTCGCTTGTTTGCTGTGTGTCGAGGCAAACACCACCTTTGTTTTCACTGAATCGGATGCCACTGAGTGTCTCTCACATTTGCTTCTCATTGCCAAACAATCGGTGGGGGGGAAAATCTTCGCACGTTTGTTTTTCTATCGACTGTCACCGATACCAGTTAATGGCTGCCGACCGTCTCAAGAGGCTCAACGAAGACTTTTCGACTTACCTGGAAAAGAAGCGACAGGATTCGACGGTCTCGCACATGTCATACATGACGACAGGAACCAGATACGGCCACGCAAAATTCATAGCAGATGCTCCCACTGGAAAGTCTTTCGAAACCTTTTATGATGTTGGAGATTTGCTGGGAGAAGACGATTACTGTTCCGTTCACCGGTGCACCCGCAAGCAGACCCAGTTGTGCTATGACGTCAAACACGTCGATTTGGAGCAGCTGGAGACCGACTTTCGAAAAACCGTCGAGGACGAGATCGCGTCTCTCAAACTGTTGCGGGGGGGTCCGCACATCATACGTCTCCTGGATGTCTTCGAGGAGAAGAATAATCCAGGACACAAGTATTTGGTGTTTGAAGCAATGAAGGGCGGGAATCTCTTGACACGAATCGTCGAAAAAGAGGTATACACAGAACGAGAGGCCCGAGCCGTTTGCAAAACCGTCTTCACCGCAATCGATTACTGTCATAGGAAAAAGGTAGCTCACAGAGACATCAAGCCTCAAAATGTCTTTTTGAACGAAGAGGGCGACGACACGAGCGTGAGGGTTGCAAACTTTGGCTTTGCGAAAAAGGTCACCCACGAAAACTGCCTTCAGACGCTGTGCGGAACAGCAAACTACGTCGCTCCBGAAATCCTGGACCAGCGGGTGCAAGGCTACGACCTCACCTGCGACATTTGGTCGCTGGGGGTTTTCACCTATGTCCTCTTGGGGGGCTACCCTCCGTTCGAAGGTGTCCACCAAAACCTGGCTACCGAAATCTTGTGCGGGCAGTACGAGTTCCACGAAGAATATTGGGACTCGATTTCCGATTCCGCAAAGCAAATGATCTCGTACATGCTCGAGGTTGATCCCAGGCAGCGCATCACGGCCGCGGAAGCCCTATCGTGCAAGTGGATGGAAACAGAGGAAGAACGTCTGGTCCTCCGGGACCTGTCGCTGGCTCAGAGCTCCATCCGGGACACCATAGAGCCCGCCGCGAAGATGAAGGCGGCCGTGAACGCAATTCTTGCGCGGAACAAGTTCATGTCGATCGCCGGTATGTTCCAGAACGACAACGCGTCTGGCGTCTCGGTTGCCACCCCGGTGCGGCAGCCAACCATCAGCGAAATCGAGGACGAACACTTCCACGATTTGTTCTCGTGGGGATCGCAGGTAAGTTGCAGGGCAGCCGGTGTATGTCTCGCAGAGACKGCGTGCGCGGATCTCGTTGTCGCGGTGCTCCGTGCCGTCACTCGATTTGGGAGTTYTYGAAGCCACGGGATCGATGTCTTGCTCACGGACTGTGCTCATTTTTTKTGTTTCATTCTCATATAGATCGGCGCGGGGTCGTTCTCTGTTGTGCACGAGGTTGCTATGAAGAAGTCCGATCAGGTTTATGCCGCGAAGCGAATCGACCGAAACAATCTGCATCCTAGCGATGCTCTTGCGCTGCACGATGAGATTGCCGCCCTTCAAGAGGTATCCAATTGCGAACAAATCGTCAGGCTGCACAATGTATTCGATGAACCCGATTACACGTACCTAGTACTAGATTGCATGAAGGGGGGAGATTTGATCGATCGGATCATCGAGAAACACAACTACACGGAGTTCGATGCCAAAGAGGTCAGTCGAAAGTTGCTCATGGGCGTGGCCTACTGCCACAAAAAGAAGATTGCGAACAGGAACCTAAAACCAGAAAACCTTCTCCTGAGTGCAAATAGTGATACCGACGTGAAGATTAGCGACTTTGGGTACGCGAAAAAGGTCACCTTTCCGAACTCGCTGAGGACGCAGTGTGGAACAGAAGGATACGTTGCGCCCGAAATTCTAGAGCACCGGCCTGCATATGATGTCAGCTGCGATATGTGGAGCTTGGGTGTGATCATGTACATCATGATGGGAGGGTATCGTCCCTTTCGAGGAGAGGGAGAAGAGGTCATGAAGCAAATTCGGTACGGGGAATACAAGTTCCACAAGCGATACTGGAACCACATTTCCGACGACGCCAAAAATCTCATCACAAGGATGCTGACTGTCGACCCGATGAAGCGGATCACGGCCGAAAAGGCCCTCCGCAACCGATGGATCCAGGCCGATAGGAACTCTCTGCAGGGAGTGGAGTTGTCCAAAAACATGCAAGACCTCAAGAACCTGCGAAATGCAAAGCGAAAAATCAAGGCAGCAACCGCTGCAATCATCGCCACGAAGAAGCTGCAGAGCATAGGTGGCTTCCGTGCGTACCAAGACTTTTAAKAAGGATTCATTGTAGTCGCTGGAACAATTCACAGCCTACTAGAACAACAATAGATCTAGAATTTACAAGCCAGCCGGAGGCTGCCATTTTTCGACACGAGATTGACAAAATAGCCATCATAATCAATAGTGCTGATGATAAGCTACCACAAAAGTACTGATTTCTTTCCTAAACCTGATCCAAATGAGTAACTCAGAGCTAGTAGAGCAAGCTCCATCTCTTGTGTGTTATTAGTACTAATAGTAAGTTTGCGTTACGATGTGATCAAGGTAACACTAGTAGTGGTAGTAATACTAGTAGTAGCAGTATGGTTACGCTTAATAGTACTACCAATAGTGATCTCAGGATGATATTTGATGATTGAAACTGCTGAGTTGAGAAAGGAAGAGACAAAAAAGT